TAACTGATCAATAATCATCAGTTATCGGATGTTTAATGGATACTCTGATATTTAACAGCTACCAACAAAACCACAGGACATCTCAGTTGGGAGGTGAGGTCATACTCTTTACCCATGAATTCAAAAGCTCCATGATCTGCCCTGACACAAACCGTCTCTAGAGAGTGACAAACATAGTAACCATGGCACCATATACTTATTGAGTAGGTATCTTCACTTGTACCTAGGGTTTCCTTGTGAAGCTTGTTTTGTTCATTTTCTCTGATACGGGCACTAATGTAATTCAATCTACATCCTAACATGAAACTAAATATATTGAATTCCCATGAAGAACCCATCCAACCTCAAGGAGAGCAAACATCTACACTAATGCACACGTGGACATCTGAGAGCATGAACATCAGTGTCTACAACGAGCCCAAGTACATCAGATGCACACACATCGATGCAAATTCCTTATCAGCAATACCATCATACATTCTTAGTACTTGGTGGCAAAACCCTTGTTGGCAATCACAGAGGTCAGACGTTTCTTGTAGTTGGCCACCAGGTTTGTAGACATCTCAGGAGGGATTTTGTCCCACTCCTCTTTGCAGATCTTCTCCAAGTCATTAAGGTTTCGAGGCTGACGTTTGGCAACTCAAACCTTCAGTTCCCTCCACAGATTTTCTATGGGATTAAGGTCTGGAGACTGGCTAGGCAACTCCAGGACCTTAATGTGCTTCTTCTTGAGCCACTCCTGTGTTGCCTTGGCCGTGTGTTTTGGGTCATTGTCATGCTGGAATACCCATCCACGACTCATTTTCAATGCCCTGGCTGAGGGAAGGAGGTTCTCACCCAAGATTTGACGGTACATGGCCCCGTCCATCGTCCCTTTGATGCGGTGAAGTTGTCCTGTCCCCTTAGCAGAAAAACACCCCCAAAGCATAATGTTTCCACCTCCATGTTTGACGGTGGGGATGGTGTTCTTGAGGTCATAGGCAGCATTCCTCTTCCTCCAAACACGGCGAGTTGAGTTGATGCCAAAGAGCTCGATTTTGGTCTCATCTGACCACAACACTTTCACCCAGTTCTCCTCTGAATCATTCAGATGTTCATTGGCAAACTTCAGACGGGCCTATATATGTGCTTTCTTGAGCAGGGGGACCTTGTGGGCGCTGCAGGATTTCAGTCCTTCACAGCGTAGTGTGTTACCAATTGTTTTCTTGGTGACTATGGTCCCAGCTGCCTTGAGATCATTGACAAGATCCTCCCGTGTAGTTCTGGGCTGATTCCTCACCATTCTCATGATCATTGCAACTCCACTAGGTGAGATCTTGCATGGAGCCCCAGGCCGAGGAAGATTGACAGTTATTTTGTGTTTCTTCCATTTGCGAATAATCGCACCAACTGTTGTCACCTTCTCACCAAGCTGCTTGGCGATGGTCTTGTAGCCCATTCCAGCCTTGTGTAGGTCTACAATCTTGTCCCTGACATCCTTGGAGAGCTCTTTGGTCTTGGCCACGGTGGAGAGTTTGGAATCTGATTGATTGATTGCTTCTGTGGACAGGTGTCTTTTATCCCTTTAAGAGTGTGCTCCTAATCTCAGCTCGTTACCTGTATAAAAGACACCTGGGAGCCAGAAATCTTTCTGATTGAGAGGGGGTCAAATACTTATTGCCCTCATTAAAATGCAAATCAATTTATAACATTTTTGACATGCATTTTTCTGGATTTTGTTGTTGTTATTCTGTCTCTCATTGTTGAAATAAAGCTACCTTTAAAATTATAGACTGATCATTTTTTTGTCAGTGGGCAAACGTACAAAATCAGCAGGGGATCAAATACTTTTTTCCCTCACTGTATCTCTGGTCGTGTCGCTTCGGTTTACTTTTCCTCTGCCTTGCCACTACATCTCTTGTTCCATCAGTCTCACATGCCTGTTGAGAAATCCACCATCCATTCCTGTCATTTAGTCTTTGAACATCTTATTTTTAGGGGAAGAAGGGATCATTTAGTTTTAAGCACAGGAGCTTTTCCTGCTCTCCCACCGTATTGATTCATGAATAATGTCTTGAGTAGATGGAGAGATTTTAAATGACAGAAGTTTTTAAATATTAGGCTATCCCTTGACATTCAGAGAGCAAACAACAGGATGTTCCTTTCTGATTGGAGGAAGCCTACACCATTTAGCCTATCTGCTTGGTTTCTTAAAGACACAGTCTAAGACTTCCAGTGCCTAGTTTGAACAAATAAAATAAACTTGCACCATCCACAAAAATTCCGACCATAGCCCAAACTTTCCAACCAGTGGAGCGATTCAGCCTCCCACCTCAACAGTGAGGACAAAGTCATTGTTAATGCATCAGTTATGACAACAGAGGATGTTTAAGGCTAACCATCGGACCGTTTATCAGTCGCCGTGAGGATGGCTTCTCTACAGGAGAGACCTTTATCGTATCCAGAGAGTAAGAGTAATGCATACAAATGACCAAGCTCAATCAACTGAACAGACAACGCTGCCCGGTGGTCACTTGGCCTTGAGCGCAGCAGCAAGCCAATTAGGTTTTAGAAAGGAAAGGTATAATTTCCTCTTTATAGGCCCCCATACAGAGCATCATTATTCTTTTGGTAAAAAAGGACAGATCGAAACCCCCCCCAAAAATCTATCAGTTGTTGAAGGACTTTTAGATCACTAAATAAAAGTCCTTGTTTTGATCAAGCAGAGGCCAATGTTCGGAATGAGCGCAAGTGCACCGTGATAAGTAGGACATGCGTGAAAATAACCTCTGTCGCTGGTATGTTTTCAAGTGAATGGGTGTTAATGATGCATGCAAATTATTGGTCTAGATAATAATAAACAAGTTTAGGAATGCTTAATAATAGTTTGAATACCCTGCTCAGAGAGAGGAGGATAGAGGCTATTTGGATATCAGATCACAAGAAATGATACACTACAGCAATAGTGCCATCTGCTGTGACTCGGCTATATGTACATGCACTTGATATTTCTAGGCATTTTCTCATCTCATTCAAATGCATCTTATTTCATGGGGACCAACTTGCTCTCTTATAAATAATACAACAGTTGGCTCTATGCAAGACAAACATTAGCAATACAAAAATAATACATGAATAAATGATGATATAAATAAATGATACATTTATTAGTCTTTAAAACAGAAGACATTTGGATGTTAGGTATATACACAATGCTTTTAACCAGAAAGGCACCTGGACATGTGAGTGAGTTTTACGTTAGGAATATTCCTGCAGTGTGGCTCAACTGAAGGGTCTACTAAAATCCAGACAAAATGGACACATTCACCTCACGAAGATACACATCTGCTCTCAACTTCACAATCTTTATTTATAAGGTTAAAAAGCTAATAAGACAAGTGGTGTTGTGATAGCTAAAATATATTATTTATAACATAAATACGATAGTCTTAACATTGCACATATTCTGTCTGCAACAATTTATTGATATCTATCTCACCTCTGGATACAGACAGTCCACTGTGTTTGCAGGAAAAAGTACAAATGGGAGTTAACTCCAATGATACAAACCAAAACTTGCCTTAAACTTTAATCCTTAATGTAGCAACTTACACATACTTAATAAATTATATTCTCAATACAAACAACTCATTCTATATGATTCAGAATCAAGAGCTATAAAAGTGCTCTCGTATAGGCCATTTATGTTGATGGTTTGAAACTGAGCTGTAGTGAAGATATGGCTGTGATCGTCTGAAACATTTCTTTATTGCTATCAGTATGTGCATGTCTCTCTCTAAGGGGGCTATACTGTCAAAGTCTTTGGCCTCTTGGATGGCTAATATATTTATATATCAGAGCACAAGGAAATAAAGTCACGCAAACTCATGGTGGGGCTCAGGGTGGGGCGGCAGGTAGCTTAGTGGTTAAGAGCGTTGTGCCAGTAACCGAAAGGTCGCTGGTTCTAATCCCCGAGCAGACTAGGTGAAAAATCTGTCGATGTGCCCTTGAGCAAGGCACTTAACCCTAATTGCTCTTGTAAGCCGCTCTGGATAAGAGCGTCTGCTAAATGACTCAAATGTAATGTAAATGTAATGGTGTTGTCTTCACATACGAGCATATCTGATGTGAATAGTGGCTGTGTCAACAGCCACTATTCCACCATATCCTACTGTTGAATGAAATGCAGTGCCCATAGACCTGTGTTGAGACACTTCCTTGATCTGAGCAAATGTTCTTTGTCCAAAAAGCTGTATGCAATTATGAAGAAGAGCAAGAATGTGATCAGTTTACATTCTGGCTGCATGGGAGTGATAAGAGAGCAGTTTATGGTTAATAATGTGTCAAGGAATCTGGCTCCTGTTCAGTAGGGTACACTGTAGCACTGTGTTCTCATTGGACAAGTTAGTTAGTACCTCCCCGGTTCAAAACATTTTCTTCTTACTGAACACAACCCTGATGTCAAACGCTCCAGTACAGCCCTGACAACAGCCCTTATCTTCCTCCTCTTCCTCTCAATGTGAAAAGGAGAAGCCTTGCCACAGTGAGGGCATATGGACATGTTGGTTGGTTGGTGCCTCATTCTAATCTATATCATCAGTCCTGCTATGATATCCATTACTAAACCACAACCACACTGTGATAATATCTGGAGAACTACGATGAACTACGATGAACCCGGACTATTTGCACTGCCCCCCCACCCCATCCTTTTTACGCTGCTGCTACTCTGTTAAGTATTTATGCATAGTCCACTTTAACTCTACCCACATGTACATATTACCTCAACTACCTCAACTAGCCGGTGCCCCCGCACATTGACTCTGCAACGGTACCCCCCTGTATATATAGCCTCCCTACTGTCACTTTATTTTACTTCTGCTCTTTTTTTCTCAACACTTTTTTTGTTGTTGTTTTATTCTTACTTTTTTTGTTTAAAATAAATGCACTGTTGGTTAAGGGCTGTAAGTAAGCATTTCACTGTAATGTCTGCACCTGTTGTATTCGGCGCATGTGACCAATAAAATTTGATTTGATTTGAAAATGTGTGGCTTGTGGTAAGTATAGTGACCTAGTACAGCCTTGCAAGCCAGGAGGAACCAAAAGCACGATTGATTGCATCTTCTCTGGCCAGCAGGGGAAAGAAATCATGGGTGCGCATCTCATTGAGGAAATCAAAGCGACTCAATTGGCCTCCTTACGGACACCCAGATGGTCCCACCCACAGTGCTTTTATCTCTTTCGGATTGGTCCCATGAGAGAGCTGCCACAGTATTTTGGAATCATCATCAGTGATGATTGGCCGTTCCCTCAGGCCTCGTGTGGGTGGGATGGGTGTCGGGTCACTTGCTGAGGCTGATGCTGACGTAGGATGTTGGAATGTAGCCCTCGTTCCCATTGGCCCTGCGGACCCTGGTCCAACCGTCCCCTTTATCCTCCTCCACTACAGACAACACCTCCCCCTCCTGCATGGCGATGGTCCCCTCACTGGCACCTAGCAGGGACATGACAGCATGTTAGACTATAGCCATGTGTGTGATACCATAATAGTGTTGAGCACATTGTCATTGTGACCCATCCACACCTACCTGGGAAGTTGTACATGGCTGTACATTGGCCGATGGGAGCGACAAGCTCCTCCTCCTCCTCCTCCTCCTCCTCCTCAAAGTCGTCGTCAAACTCGGCGTAGATGGCCTGAGAGGAGTCTGGGGTGCCTTCATCAGTGTGGGCTCCGTCAGGGCTGGAGGGAGAAACACATATGCTTAATTTAGTCCCGTGTAGCTCAGTTGGTAGAGCATGGCGCTTGCAATGCCAGGGTTGTGGGTTCGATTCCCACGGGGGACCAGTATGAAAGAAAAAAAAATTATGCACTCTAACTGTAAGTCGCTCTGGATAAGAGCGTCTGCTAAATGACTATAATGTAGAATAAATATACATATGACTTCAGTACATTCACTGACAGCCATGAGTGAAGTCTCAGCGTCGTTTCTAACCTGTATGGTTCGTGAGTGCTGCCGTTGTCGTTGAAGGAGTGAGACCTGTAGCTCAACGTATCCTCTCGTAACGTATCTCTCCTGAGCATCGTATCCCCTCGCCTTCCTGCCTCTGTCAACCATGACTACGAAACAAAGCACGGAGGAAATATACGATTGTTTCCTATAGTTTGTGCTTGTGACAGATTGTGAGTGAGACCAAGTACAAGAGAGGGACAGGTTAGTATACTAAATTAAGGAAAACATGAGGTCTGTGTTTACAAAGAACTATGTGAAGAGGTAACAAACAATATGTATTCTAGCTTGCATATGGGAACATAGCATGCGGTACATGACTGTGGCCAGTAGAGGGGAGTCCATTACCTCATACTTGTTGAGCTCTCCTCTCAGTCTCTCCATGTTCTGGGCTGTTTGGTTGATCTGGGTAGACAGACTGGCAGGGTCTCCCATCTGGGGGTTCTTCTCATACACATCCTTCATCTTCCCCAGGGCCTCACTGGAGAGACATGGGTGAGAGACACACAGAGAGAGAGAGGAGGAGGAGATGAGGGGTGGATTGATTCTCTGTGGAAAGGCATCCCCTGTGGAGTGCAGTAATTGGTAAACAACACACACAGGAATACTATGTTGGGAGCAGTTGTCAGTAGTCACAGAGATGGTTGTCAAAGCAGTCAGTCAAACCACCACACACCTCTGGTCCACTTCCTTCTGCAGCTCCTTGCCAATGTCGTCTAGTTTCTGTTGTAACCTCTTCCTGCGCTGCTCGGGGGGGAGATGGCCAAAGTCCTCTGTCACTGTGGGCTGAGAAAACACACAGGGAGGGGCAGTCACTTTAACACTCAACACACACAAGTTCTCCATCATCATGGCATGTGGTAGGAGAGGAACACACAACCACCTCTAGAGGAAATGGCGGTCTGTGGTTATGGTTCAGCTCAAGGGAAACAGTTTATGACAAGAAACCATATTTCACCTCTAGTAGTGACATTTGTTTTTGCTTTAGAGTGAACAAACAGATATGCTTTGTTTTTACACAGTGAGCTGAACCCAAGACCACCACCATTTCACCCATATAATAATTCCCAATACCATCCCATTGGCAGCACACCCACCCTAATAAGATAACCTGTTTTTAGGAACTCTTCCATTGGGTTTGTAGTGAAAGTTTAAGGAGGTTTTTATCATAGTGACAGACCAGTAAACTGTGAAACAATGGAGGTAAACTGAAGCCAAAATATCTGTCAAATGATACAAATTAGATCATGTTTCCCATTGCTGAAGTGACTTGAGTTATTAAGTGTTGTCATTTTTTCAGCCCTCTGCTTTGCAACAAATCTTGAATGTGAATCTGGCTGTGTTCCAGTTCATGTGCATCTAAACTAGAGCGTGAACATTCCAGCATTGATTTGAGAGTGTAAACAAGCAGACTTTAGTGTGACGTTTGAGACCAAGATGCTTGTCCAATTGTACTGATGGAGAGGTGGTCATGTGTGAGATTCCCCGTCGATGTGAGAAGCTGTGACACCCTTTAACACCCCACACAGACACCACTCTAGTATTACCATTACTATGATCCTCTCTGGAGTGAGCCTCTGAGGGAGAGAGAAACAGACAGACAGCTCGTGTGTGTGTATACATACATATACACACACATATATATACACACACATATATATATATATATATATATATATATATATATATATATATATATATATATATATACACACACACACACAGTGGGGGAAAAAAGTATTTAGTCAGCCACCAATTGTGCAAGTTCTCCCACTTAAAAAGATGAGAGAGGCCTATAATTTTCATCATAGGTACACGTCAACTATGACAGACAAATTGAGAAGAAAACAAATCCAGAAAATCACATTGTAGGATTTTTTATGAATTTATTTGCTAATTATGGTGGAAAATAAGTATTTGGTCACCTACAAACAAGCAAGATTTCTGCCTCTCACAGACCTGCAACTTCTTCTTTAAGAGGCTCCTCTGTCCTCCACTCGTTACCTGTATTAATGGCACCTGTTTGAACTTGTTATCAGTATAAAAGACACCTGTCCACAACCTCAAACAGTCACACTCCAAACTCCACTATGGCCAAGACCAAAGAGCTGTCAAAGGACACCAGAAACAAAATTGTAGACCTGCACCAGGCTGGGAAGACTGAATCTGCAATAGGTAAGCAGCTTGGTTTGAAGAAATCAACTGTGGGAGCAATTATTAGGAAATGGAAGACATACAAGACCACTGATAATCTCCCTCGATCTGGGGCTCCACGCAAGATCTCACCCCGTGGGGTCAAAAGGATCACAAGAACGGTGAGCAAAAATCCCAGAACCACACGGGGGGACCTAGTGAATGACCTGCAGAGAGCTGGGACCAAAGTAACAAAGCCTACCATCAGTAAGACACTACGCCGCCAGGGACTCAAATCCTGCAGTGCCAGACGTGTCCCCCTGCTTAAGCCAGTACATGTCCAGGCCCGTCTGAAGTTTGCTAGAGTGCATTTGGATGATCCAGAAGAGGATTGGGAGAATGTCATATGGTCAGATGAAACCAAAATAGAACTTTTTGGTAAAAACTCAACTCGTCGTGTTTGGAGGACAAAGAATGCTGAGTTGCATCCAAAGAACACCATACCTACTGTGAAGCATGGGGGTGGAAACATCATGCTTTGGGGCTGTTTTTCTGCAAAGGAACCAGGACGACTGATCCGTGTAAAGGAAAGAATGAATGGGGCCATGTATCGTGAGATTTTGAGTGAAAACCTCCTTCCATCAGCAAGGGCAATGAAGATGAAACGTGGCTGGGTCTTTCAGCATGACAATGATCCCAAACACACCGCCCGGGCAACGAAGGAGTGGCTTCGTAAGAAGCATTTCAAGGTCCTGGAGTGGCCTAGCCAGTCTCCAGATCTCAACCCCATAGAAAATCTTTGGAGGGAGTTGAAAGTCCGTGTTGCCCAGCGACAGCCCCAAAACATCACTGCTCTAGAGGAGATCTGCATGGAGGAATGGGCCAAAATACCAGCAACAGTGTGTGAAAACCTTGTGAAGACTTACAGAAAACGTTTGACCTGTGTCATTGCCAACAAAGGGTATATAACAAAGTATTGAGAAACTTTTGTTATTGACCAAATACTTATTTTCCACCATAATTTGCAAATAAATTCATAAAAAATCCTACAATGTGATTTTCTGGATTTTTTTTTCTCATTTTGTCTGTCATAGTTGATGTGTACCTATGATGAAAATTACAGGCCTCTCTCATCTTTTTAAGTGGGAGAACTTGCACAATTGGTGGCTGACTAAATACTTTTTTTCCCCACTGTGTATGTATGATATATATATATATATATATTTTTTTTTTTACTGAGTATACAAAACATTAAGAACTGCTCTTAGGTTAAATAAAGATTTTTAAGCCTTGAGACATGGATTGTGTATGTGTGACATTCAGAGGGTGAATGGGCAAGACAAAATATTTAAGTGCTTTTGAACGGGGTATGGTAGTAGGTGCCAGGCGCACTGGTTTGTGTCAAAAACTGCAACACTGCTGGGTTTTTCACACTCAACAGTTTCCTTTGTGTATTAAGAACAGTCCACCACCCAAAGGACATCCAGCCAACTTAACACAACTGTGGGAAGCATTGGAGTCAACATGGGCCAGCATCCCTGTGGAATGCTTTCAACACCTTGCAGAGTCTATGTCCCGACAAATTGAGGCTGTTCTCAATATTCAATATTAGGAAGGTGTTCTTAATGTTTGGTATATTCAGTGTATGACACCTTCAAAGATTCTGTCTTTCCACTCTGAAAGGTCAACATGACAGAGATCATTGCAGGTATTATGTTGCAGGTATTATGTTGTTTTATCTACAAATAAGAACAGAGGGTTTCGATCAGATACGGTCTGCACTCTTTTGGAGGGAACACCTGAAACATTTTGCTCATTAAATTAGTCGTTTTGATTGGACGAATTCAGTCATTTCCTGGAACAATAAGACAGAACAGGTTGATCCACCAAACAGGTTGGGCGGAGGCCTTTGTGAGGAGACGTTGCGGCCCCTGACCCTGATGACTCACCGATCGCCCGAGGGTCCGGAAGGAGGATATTCTGGGTTTGACTGTCTTATTGATCTCCTTCAAACAGTACGACAAGGGGTCCCGGCCGAACTTGGGGGAGGGGGGTCCGTTAGCGGGCGAGGGGGCGGGGGGCGTGGACAAGGGGGTGAGTGAGGAAGGGGAGGGAGAGAGCTGGGGCGGGGTGAGGCACAGACACCCAGGGAGGGGGTATGCAGGGGAGAGGGTGGGGAGGACAAAAACAAACAGATGACAAGGGAAAGAGAGAGACACACCATCAACACCTTAAGCACACCACACAGAGAAGACAACACTGCAGCAATTACCCCTGCAGAAGCCCACAGTCACCGGACCATTCACATAGCACCACAACAGCCGCAACACCAGCAATGAAACACCAGTACAGCACCACAGCCCCAACACCAGCACCAGCAACAAAACACAATCCACGACGAAGGGTAGAGTAGAGTGAGCCTACGTGAGAAACAAGGTTGACAGATTGGAGCGGACCAATGGGATTGTTCAATGGGAGGTTCCATTGGTTAACCTCAATCTGGACACAGGTACACAGCTAGACTGAACTATGTACAAAGGACACCCTATAGGTCTGGGCCTAGTATACATGCTTGTAATAAGGGTAATAAGAAACAGGGGAGGTCTCTAAACTGGTGGGAACTACTGAACATTGGCATGATGATGTAACCTCATGACCAAGTGAGGAGCAGTGAGGGAGAATATTGTCAAATCTACAGGCTGGTTTCTCAGACACAGATTAGCCTAAACCTAGAGTAGTCCTGGACTAAAAAGCACTTTAACTAGGAGCTGTTTGAATCAGTGTTGTGCAGTGGGGAGGGGGTATACTTTTTACAAATGACATCCAAAGCTCTTTCTCACAGGCAAATATGAAAGTTAACTCTACTAATTATTGAACCACCTCTTTGGGGAGAGCAGGAGCGATGACACAGAGCGGTGCACCACACAGACAGGACGATAGGGCGTATTACAGGAACAGGATTGGACACCAGTTAGCAGGGTAGCCAATCAGACATGCAGCAGGAGGAAAGTGCTGGAAGAGATTGTGGAGAGAGAGATTGTGGAGAGAGAGATTGTGGAGAGAGAGAGAGAGATTGTAGAGAGAGAGAGACGGAGAGAGAGGTGCAGCAGTGGGTAGAGGCTGTCGGTGATGTAGGTTAGCTAGGTGTTAGTTTGCTTTACGCTCAACAATAATGTCTATTCATTTCAGACTGGCTCAGGAGGCTCGTTCAAGGGAGATCCAATATATTCTCGATCTAGACGGCCTCTAGTGGTAGTCCAACGTCATCCATGATCTCCAATGATTGTGTAGAGAGAACACAGCAAAAATGTGTTCACCTGGAACTAGTCATCCCTCCCTGTCCCAGTATCATCCCTGATGGTTGGCATTTCCCAAAGGTGTCATTGTGGTGGTGTGACTCCTAATGTTATAGTCTGGGCCAGTATAATACAGTATAATAGCAGAGTGTTTGTAGCTGATGAAAGCACAAGCCCAGCAGAATGCTGCCTGCCAGTAGCGTTGACCTATTGGAAACCACAGTCAGTCACACACTGCAGAGAGAGAGAGGGGGCTTATTCACAGACAGGCCAGGGACACAGCCATGCAAAGACCTGTTCTAGAAAGGTGTGTGTACGTGCGGGTGTGTGTGTGTTAGAGAGGGGGACCATGCAGTATGTACATGCATAGCTCTGGGAACAGGAAAGATTGTGTGTGAGACCATAGCTTCAGGACCATTGTGACTGAGGTGGTCCCCAGAGGGAAGTTCCCAGACTCTGTCTCCCTGATTCAGCCCCTCTGCCTTAACACTGACACACTGCTCATGGTTGATCTAACTGCACCTTGGAGCACTGATCATTTCATACACTAATAAATCCACTCGGGGGACTAGTCATTCATAGAAGACGGAAATAACCTGATTTGGGCATGAATTGTAGATTAGGATAATAATGTCTATTCCTAATTCAGAAAGTTACTCAGCTAGTCAGAACTGAGTCATGGGAGTGGGATGTACCAGGGGTGTAAACTAGTCTGTCATTGTGTCTGTGAGGAGGAGAGGTGGTACTAGCAGCCTACCTTACTCTTCTTGCTGAACAGCCAGAATGGTTTGCTCCTGTTCTTGCCCAGCAGCTCCAGGGGGCCTTTGGGGGTACCGAGGGTGCCCAGGCTGCTGTCTGAGGAGGCACGGTTGATGCCCTGACTGTAGTCCTCAAAGTCCAGGTCCCCAGGACGCTCAAAGCCTGACTTGTACTGCTCTATAAGAGCTATGGAGTCCTGCAGGGATAGTAGGTTACATTATGACAGTGAAACACAGACCAACAATACCAAAATGTTTCAAAGCATTTGTGTTTAATACCTATTTCCCTCACATTCTGTCAACCTTCATCGGACCACATGTATCTATGTACATTACGTCTGGGTTTGTTTTGTATACATGCAGTACAGTATGGCCGACTCACATTCCTCTCATTGACATTAGTGCCTGCTTTAGCGACGCCCTCCAGACACTTCCCGATAATGGGTATCACGTGCTTCTCTGTGTCTGAGAACAAGACGTAGCCCTGCGCCAGCTTCCTCACCCGCCTCTCATCCATGTCCTGGAGTTTCTATAGGGAGAGGAGGCACATACAGGACAGGGCGTCACTCACTCAGGTCTGCCATGTCAGGGTGCCTGATTAAAGTATAACAACCTCAAAGGTCAGCTATGTTTTTAATGTCTGTTGAACCAAATGTTAGTATTCAAAATAGTTCCAGCATAAGGAAGGAAATCTAGGCTAAGGTCAGGATGGATGGGTGAGAGGCTCTGCCTTACGTTGAAGATGAGAGGCATGTCGCTGAAGTAGAACTGGCTCTGCTCCTTGTTGTATTTCTGCAGCTGGGCTGCGTAGTCGTTCTTACACTCCTCCGCTATGTGTGTCCTCATGTTGGCCTGCTGTTTGGCCTGGACACAAGTAACAAAACACACAGGTCACACACAGGTCAGTCTGGTGGCTCACATTCCACTGTTTAAGGGGAAGCAGGACAAGTAGGACAGCTGGGATGTGTTCAGTAGGGCAACGGAAAATGAAAATCAGTGTTCTTTTTATTCTGTGTTGGTGTCCTACTACCTTCTCGACGTCGGCCTTTGTGGCGTTGATGTCCTGGTCAGTTTTCTCGGCATACTGAGCAGCTTTGTCCGCTTCCCGCCACTCCCTCTCAAAACGTTTCTTACTCTAAACAGAGAGACAGAAACACCTCCATGTTGATCTTACCTAACCCAATACTGTGCTCTGTGGGCATTGTTTGAATGGAATAGAATAGTCTCTCCTATTGTGTACAAGAGGGACCTCTGCTTCACCCAAGGGTAGTGAACACTTGCCCTAGGCCCACTAGCACCTGACTCTTTACTGAAGGGGGCTGGAACAGCAGTGGTTTAGGCCAGTGGTGCTGACCCATACAGTGAAGAGCGATGGGCTGGAGTGCTGCTGGTTTCTGGTCGCGTTTTGGTTCCCTACCCCTGCTTTAAAAGGAGCTCTTCATCTCTTTTTACTGTATACATCACAAATACTGTTCACCTGAGTCACCATACACACATGCATGCGCTCACAACTAGTCAACAAACGTCCCTTTCACTGATGTAACAATGACCACACTCACAGTAGACAAAAAGCAGACAATATGAGAGTGCATTCAGAAACATTTGACCTCTTTCACAACTATAGACAATGGAGGACAGTGACTGGACAAAACATTGCCCTTTGACTGAACAGAAATAATAAACAGACAAGTTGTTCACTGACAAGCAAAGTATAGGCCTACTGTATAGAGAGGATGTATACATTAGTATTCTACCAACAACGTAGATTTTACCTTTGGAAGAGGGATGTTATTGGCAGACGGCCCGACATGTAAACAAACTTACACTGTCGAGCTGCTTATAGGTGCTCTCCAAACTCTGCTGGGCTTTCTTGGCCTCCGACAGATGCTGAAAACAGACAAACAGAGAGAGGACACATGAGACACAGAGAACACTAGGATGACATGACGGTCCCTACTTAGACAGGGCCATGGGCATTGGGTACAGAATAAACAATGGCCACCAAAAACCACTGAACAAAACAGATGGTAAACAAATAGCAGTCTGTCTGTCTGTGGATCATGTCTACTGGGAGACTTTATAGTGTTTCTATATTCCATTGGGGTTGGGCCAAGGCATTCCTCTCCTTTCAGAGGATGATACAACACTAATGTGACCACCCCCTACGAGACAACCCAAGTAAGGCTTCCTTCCTGCCATAACAGGGGAACCTACAAATCTCTGCTCCTCCTTCCTGTCTCCTTCTGACTCTCCCTCCTTTTCCCTAGCTCCCTCCCATCTTCACTCACCCTCACTATAATATTCTAAGAGTTTTGAACTCTTCCATCCTTCCCTCTCAGTGTGGATGTTTTCACTCTCTCACCGTCTTGCGCTCCATCTTGAGCTCCTGCAGGTACTTGGTGAGTTCGATGCAGATGTTCATCATCATGTTCTCAGCAATCAGCTCCCTCTGTCCTGCGTAGTCGTTCATCTCATTCAGGATGTCCAGGAAGGACTGGTGGTTGGAGAACCTATGGAAGAGGGTGGTGAGTAAAGAGGAGGGAGGGAGGGAGGGAGGTAGGGAGGGAGGAGAGAGGGAGGGAGGGTGGGAGGGGAAGGATACAGAAGAGATGAGATCTATAATGGATTTGGGCATTGACAGGAAGTTACATACACTGTTGCTTAAATAGCTGTGTTAGCCAGGTAATGATAGGTCCATTACTTCCTTACTCCCGTTTCCCTCTCAGGGGGTATAGTAGCAGTCATTTGCATTGCTCTGCAGGTGCTGGCATAGCCTCTCCAACTACAGTACTACAGACAGGAAAGCAGTTTGAAAACACGTCATTGAAATTACGTCATGTATTGTTGGTGTATTATTTTAGTCAAGCTTTGTTTTCCTTCTCTATGTCTGATTAGGAACTGAAAGTCATGTTGAAGATCACAGCTGGCCTGGGCAGGTAAAAATACAGCACATTTATTTTATGCACACGCACATTCATTCACACACACACAAAAGCACACAATAGCTCACCTGCATTCCTGTTCCTCTTTACTGCCTCGTTTAGGATTGTATTTCTTTGTTAGATTTCTGTCAATATTAGGAGAGGGGGAAAGATATGGTAAGTAGTCTGGAAGATTGCATCTGTGCTTTTGACATATTCTAACTTAATTATCCTAAATGATAGGAAAACAGAATGCATCAAATTAGGGAGTCTATTAAAATCTCAATGAACAAGTTCTACTGACCTAAATTGGTTTGCGTTTAATAGAAATTATTCGACTTAAAAATCAATCCATTCCTCTAAAAAACAATACACACAAATAGTATTTGCTTCTTGTAGGCAAGACTGGCCCAGTCCACTAGCACAGTTGATCTTTCATTTTTGCTGTTTTTGTCTCAAATCATTTCTGGGCAACAATTAATTACCTCACTGTAATTGTTTTTAATCAAAAATAGCTTATTTGAAAAAATATATTTCTCAAAAAAGAATTTTGCTAAGACTGCGAGTGGTCTGAGAGACGAGCCTAATGGGAAGGATGTGTAACCTGAAAGCTAGCTGTTATTGGCCTATTATTAACGTATAGGTCAACAACAACAAAAAACACGCAGCCAAACAAGCTGAAATTTCAGGCAGCTCTTACACTAAAAGTGCATTATCATAATTTTCACAATTTCACTGTATTATTCCAACCTCAGTGTGGATATATATATATATATAAAAAAATCACGTCTTTGACTGCACTGCCCCTTTAAGGGAAAGCCAATGCAAAACTAGTCAAGAAGAACATCCATGTTAAAACAGATCCACTTCTCCTATTCTTCCTTCTTTCACTAGAGCTCACTCTGACCACATCCTGTCCGATCATGTGCCAGTCTGCTCCCACTTCCTCTCCTCTCCACCAGAGCTCAGCAGCAGATACTGACAGACACTCGGGGTGAGAGTGAGGAATAGAGAGTAAGGGAGGCAGCAGTGCAGGCCCAAGCTTGAGAATGAGGGCAGTGTTTCTGGGACTGTGTGGGCTGGGGCAATGCCAACAGGAGGAGACAAGTTCAATTCTGCCCCAAACTAGTCATAAGACACCACATACGTTTCATAAAACAGCATACATTTCATAAAACAGCTTTTGAGCACACACATCAACTGCTGTGGGCACACATGCAGGAATGAGGCCCGAGGAATGAGGAACCATGAGAAATGAGGCCTACCTCAGCTGCTTGGCATAGTTCTGCTCTATCTCCGTCCTCTCCTTCACAAACTTGACATACTTCTCTACCAGTTCCAGGCCGGATTGCGTGTGCTTGTCGATGATGTCATATTGGTCCTGGGGAGAAGGAACATGAAAGAGAGAGAGAAAGAGATATTATTCACGATACACACAAGATGGATGGATAGCTAATCTCCATTAGATAAGAATGACAGGGCACGTTCCATTGGATGAGTGACGTCATCTAAAGAATGCTGGATATTAATCAGTCTGAGGCAACATTTCGTTTACAGACTGTTGATACTGAATCTCAAGTCACCATATCTACCCATATGTTATGCATTCCAAAAATTCTCTACATATGCACAACCCTTGACCCCCAACCTTGTGGCGCTAAATCATGCTGCTGCCTTAGAGGGAGAAAAGTGAGAAAAGGGCCAGAGAGACACAGGGAGGAGGACCACCTTTTACCGACAGGAAATAGGAAGCGCCTCGCTCTTGCACTTCCTGTGGTACGTGGACTCAGTAGAAACATCCCAAACTGAGATATCAATATGAATTGCATAGAACACTAAACAACCAACTGATTGCAGCATTACCGCAAACATGGAGGAGGCAAGTGGAAGGGAGTGAAGGTAGGGAACTAGTTTGTCTCCCCTTTAAAGGCCAAAATTGGCTAAAAGAAATCATCATAAATTGAAAAACATACATGGCACATGGTTTATGAACTGATACAAAAAACAACACTTGATTCAAAACTTAAAGAGTTTTTCAATTTAAATGATTGTACAAAACTCTTGCCACCAACAGAATGTTATGTATATAGGGCATACAACCATCTCAGCTCTGCAGATTTTGCTGCAAAGAGACAGAATCATTAGATAATTTATTCTGGTATTGCCCCTATGTAGCTTGTTTCTGGTCAACTGTGTGTATAATGTACAAAAAAATAAAAAGCTGTAAAAACAAAGTTTATTTTTGCCCTCTGAAGAGGGTGGTGGATGGGCGAATAAAGAAACCTACAAACAACACTAAACACAACGCATCGTTATTTGATTTCCCTACACTTGCTACCACACGTATCATTAACAGAAATTCCCACACTTTGATATGCAGTGAGGAGTCTTCTAGTCTCTTCTCTTTAGTTCCTTTTTTGGCTGGGTGCTTTATGGCCACTTCAAGCACAGACAAGCCTGTTAGAGAGTGATGATGATATCTAGGAATAGCCAATCCTCCCTCCCTCACTCTGAACACCTCCAAGCCCTCTGTAGTTACAGTATGGAGGAGGGACGTCTATGGGAAGAGAGTCCTATCATGTTGGGCCATGTTCTTGACCCATCCTACCCCTCTCAAAGGGCACACAAAAAGAGAGTGAACAAATAACACCTAAGGCCTTTTATTTGAGAATATATATTTATTCATCAGTTTGGGAGATTGAGTTTATCAACACAGGCTGATTTCTGTGGTAATATGTCAACATGTGGGCTTGTATGAGACATTGTGAGGGAGTTGCTGTATGTGTGCATGTGTATGTCCAACACGGAGGACTTATTTTTAGAAGTCTGATCAAAAGTTTTGGGGCAGGAAAATGAGAGCCACAGCACACAGTGTGCTATTTTGTGTTCACCCTAAACACCACCAAGAGACAAGGAGAGAACATACCAACTGGTTGGTTTTCATTCAAGTTTAACAGAGTCCTCCTGTCTTCCCTCTCCATAAGACCATTTTGTTTAGAAATTGGTCCAATTTAAAGTTTCAGTAAGCTAGGACATTCAGTTTGGCTTTTCATTAGCATACTGTTGGCTTCACGATAGCATTTAGGACACACAGACACATCAAAGACAGTAATCTTTCGAAGACTGTAGGCCTATCCATCCATACCCAGCAGCCTGTCTTCTACCTCCACTCCACCAGCCTGTACTCACTCAGTCACACTAGCAGCCAGGTCTAATGCCCATGCACTGATCTTGCACACTGAACACTAGGTGCCTAAAATAGCTGCTGGATTAACGGCAAGGAAAGCAGGGTGATAGATGCCACAGAGCAGGCAGCAGAGTTGGCCACGAACGTTACTGGCCAAACACAATCACAACCAATTAGGCAGTCTTGACGTTGTGTCCAGAGAAATAATTAATGTTGAATGAATGTTGCCAATGCCAATAGTCTCCCTCACACATAAATACAAACATATGAAAACCTGGTTAGGTCTGTGTCATTCTCTCACAATCAATTTAACTAGTAGTATTTGCTAAACCTGATAGGAGAAGGTACAGTAAAATACTAGCTAATAAAATCTGTTTGAGTTTGCATGTTTTCAGAGAAAAGTAAGAGGTTTGAAGAAATACCTCTTGGGTTAAAAAGTGAAACAGATGTGGCACATATATCCATATAAATAAATACAAAAGCATGGATAGATGAGATGTTTTGAGTTCATTAGCTAAATGAGGTCAAAACTAATTAGGTTGCTGGTGCTCCATGCAGCGCAGCACTGAGGATGGAAAGGGGACAGGACGGACAGGAGGAAGAGAGAGAGGCCCAGGGGGAACATGGGTAATGAGGTCAGAACCTACCGTCACACCCTCCTCTCTGTAACGCCCCATTTGTATATTCACTAAGTGTGTGTGTGTGTGTGTGTAGGAAGTCAGATCACTGGGTGGGTGGTGGAGTAGCCATAGCCTAGCTCTCAGACAAACAGTGTAGCAGCATTGAGGGGCAGTGTGTTCTTGGCCTGATCTTTAGTGAAAAGACTGCTTGTTTCTCTGTTTGTCTTGTCCATTGTGTCGCCTACCAGCTACCACTGTAACTCACTCTGGTGCACATTGGCTGGGGAATCCATGACAACCGGTGGCAGTCAACAGATGTTGAAATCAACTCATTATACTCATTAAAACCATGTGAGATCGATTAGCGAGAGCAAAGATCCATCCAGCAATCTATGTAAAAAAGAAGGCTATTGCTTGTTGTCACACGGTACTCTAGTGGGCACCAATCCTGGTCCTGGAAAGCAACAGTGTACACTACAGTGTTTTTCCAGGCTATTTTAAACTCCTCAATGAAGGTATTGGTGGTCAGTAATTAGCCTAGTTGGTTAAACCCTCTCTCCAGGACTAGAGTTGGGTTGGGTTGGTGACCACTGGCATGCTCAGTACAGTGCACTGTTGAAAACATTGAAGGATCTGGGGGTAAACGTGCCGTCATGTAACTGATATCATTCAATATGTCAACTTCAAGTCAATGGTGGGTGTCAATATAAGTCGCAAAAGAAAATGTATTTGAAGCAAAATGACTACAGGGGAGCAAGCAAGTGATTGGTTCAAGCAGCCATGCCCATGCCCATGAGACTGTGTGCTCCATCCATGCGCGCGGTGGGCAGCAGGAGGCAAAAGTGTCCTATTTCTGGGAATCAAGTAACGCCCAACTGGGTGACAACTTGTTGCGGGCCCTCCCAAAAGTGGATCCTTCCTTGGGACACAACATAAATTAGTCTTGGGGCAAGGAATGTCAATGAAGTTCACACAAGTTCAAAACATCAAAGGCCTAGGCCCTAGACATTCTGCATGTCTGGCAGTTTGTGCACGACAATCTGGGTCATAAGCTTTTTCTTGAGAAATGAAACATTGACCTGAACTTGGCTAGCTAGCTAATACCATAATGAGCTGAGAGACTAGACAAGAGACCAGCACGAGCCGCTTTGTTGTTCAGCGTCCCCAATGACAGCACTTCGATTCGAAAGTTACTAATCGTGCTGCAACTTATGTACCTGCTACAATGGCTGCGTTTACACAGACAGCCCAATTCTGATCTTTTGCCCAATTATGGAAATCTGCGTATATGCAGATTCAGGAATGCCCACATGCAGGAACGCCACAAATTGCGTGCTGCAATCACACACTATTCCAATTATGGGCAAAACGAACTGATTGGGAATGGGACAAATTAGTGAAAAATATCAGAATTGGGCTGCCTGTGTAAACAGAGTCACATTTGTATCTGTTCAGAGAGTGACACGCTGGTCCAACACAAGGTGTCAAAAATAAATAATGCACCCATCCAATTGGCGACAGATTTTCATGTGAATATTCTAAAATCTTCATAAAAACAATATGCCATTTCAGTGTTTCCTTCAGGAAAATGTGGCGCCGGACAACATAACAGAGAACATTTTCATTTACCAGACATTTGAGAAATGTTATAGACATCAATCTGCATTCAGATCCAACCTGGCGTTGCCAGCGCCATCAATAAATGAGGGATGTTGGCCAAATGAACCACATTTACGAGTCCTTAAAAACAGCCTATAACAAATTACAAAAACACTATTCCTTGTGTTTCGGTGTAGCACATGCAAAACTTTATAGACTTTTTTTTTGGGGGGGCTACTTTCCTAAAACAATAATTGTCCACCTCACGGTTCAGCTGTCAGAGATTTGAGCACTAAAAGCATCAGGGCATTGCATGCAAAGGCGTAGGTGTCCACTGTATGATATTCATATTTTAAATAGCTTATTTCTCTAAAATGTTGTGCACAAATATGTTTACATCCATGTAAGTGAGCATTTCTCCTTTGCCAAGATAATCCATCCACCTGACAGGTGTGGCATATCAAGAAACTGATTAAACAGCATGATCATTTCACAGGTGCACCTTGTGCTGGGGACAATATAAGGCCACAAAAATGTGCCGTTTTGTCACACAACACAATGCCACAGATGTCTCAAGTATTGAGGGAGCGTGCAATCGGCATCCACTAGGAGCTGTTGCCAGAGAATTGAATGTTCATTTCTCTACCATAAGCCGTTTAGAGAATTTGGCAGTACATCCAACCGGCCTCACAACCGCAGACCACGTGTAACCACGCCAGCCCAGGACCTCCACATTCGGCTTCTTCACCTGCGGGGTCGTCTGAGACCAGCCACCCGGACAGCTGATTAAACTGTGGGTTTGCAAAACCGAAGGATTTCTGCACAAACTGTCATAACCCGTCTCAGGGAAGCTCATCTGTGTGCTCGTCATCCTCACCAGGGTCTTGACCTGACTGCAGTTCGTAACCAACTTCAGTGGGAAAATGCTCACCTTCAATGGCCACTGGCATGATGGAAATGTGTGCTCTTCACAGA